AGCTTGCATAATGGTGAGTTAAAGGCGCTTACGATTGGACGCAGGGGAACCCCGTATATATATATATATATATATATATATATATATATATATATATATATATATATATATATATATATATATATATATATATATATATATATATATATATATATATATATATATATATATATATATATATATACTACAAGTACACATTGACAATGCAGTATCTACACTTTTTTTTCAGCGATTTAAATCTGCTTACAAAGCCGTACCTAAAACAAGATTGCTTTAGAAAAATCGTTTTTTGTTTTGTTTTAGAGAGACGCCTTATTTTTGTATCGTGTTCTTGTAGATCACTATGTAAAATTCTTGAAAAATACTTGGCGATATTGGAAACACATTTTTTAACATGGCACAGAATGTCCAGAACACCCTGTACAATATGCAAAAACTTTAAATAGAAAAGTTTTAGATGTACATACAGGCTACATGGTCGTGTAAAATATACTGACAACTCAAACAGAGCCTTCTAGTTATAGTCAATTAACCTTATAAGGGAACTCAGTCTTAGTTTTTTGCGAATATCGGGCGATGTCTGGAATCTTCTATTTCGAAATTTTTTTGGATCACATAAACAGTTTTGGAGGATTGACTTTTTTCTTAGACCCTTTCAAACGCGATTTTTAATTTTTTAAAAATACTTTCCAATGGCAGCATTGAAATTTCAAAAGGAACAAAAAATTTGTTTTATTGCATTTTCGAATTCCACGTAAGAATTTAAGCAACTTTCACTAATCATTCCAACACTTATGTGTCATTTTGTTCCCAAAAAAAAATAGATTTTTTTTCTTCAGAAACTGCGCTTCGATTAAGTGTGATGCCCTGGCGTAATTACGAATAATTCAATCAACACTTTTACAGGTGATAACTAGTGAATGGATTTAAAGACTGTGTATGTAATACCGGCAATATTTTATACATACCTACCTACCATCAACAATTGCAGATTAGTTTATTTGTCGTAGTTTTAAGGCTCTTTCATGTTCTTTAGTATAGTTAACATTTTTCGTCCTGTTTCTCCAATGTATGCCGCATGTGCATGGAATTCTTTCAACTCCTTGTGTTTTCGAACTGAACTTTGTCTTCGATAGGTCCAAGATGTTGCCGGGATTTTTGAACAAGGGGTAAATTTGGTTTTGAAGTCATATTTCTTAAGAATTTTTAATATTTGGTCAGTAATATTCTGAAGGTAAGGAAGAAGCACAGTGACAAATACATGGCAAACAGACTTATTTTATTTGGGAGGCTGTGATGAAGTGTATTTTGTAATGGAACGCTTAATATCCCTAACTAGAAAATTATTTGTGGGAATAGCAGATTTCAGGTGTTTTAATTTTGGGTCCACTGAATCGGGTTCAGATGGTTTTAGGGCTTTGTAAACAGGAAAGTTAACTGCAATTTTATATCTGATTTTCTATTCATAAGAATTATATTATATTAGTAAAACATATGTTTGAGGTTGTAACCAATGATTTATTAGAAATACCAAAGGGAATGGACGAACTTCCATTGTCTTTTTGTTTTTGTTTATACAACGTTTCGGCCAGATGTAGCAGATGAACTCTAATTTTAATTCTAAGATTATGATGCTTATATATTAGACTACGGAGTTCAACGGTGCTGGAGTCGGGTACACTCAACCGTGAGGTTGTTCCGTCAGAACAATACTGGTGCACTCTATTAAGCGTTGCCAGATTGTAGGTACTTCGAAGCTTGGATTGCTAGAGATGTTTCCATTGTTTTTAATGAAATACAGTTTCCTGATTCTTGCGCCTTTTCCAATTTGGATTTCACCCCTCATGGTGTGTTTACTATGTTTATCAAGTCTAACGTGTAAAGGTCTGTTTGTTTTTCCATTTACAGGGTATTTGGTAGAGACGCTCTTTCTCTTGAGTCGATGTTTCTGGCTTTGTTCTTGTAAGTATGCTTCTTAATGTAATGTTGTATGTGAGAGAGAGTATACACCTCACATCGTTCTGAAGTTGCTTTCCGTTTACAATTTGATAATGTTTTGTTAATACATTTTTGGGTGTAGTCATTATGGATCAATATTTTTAGTACTACTTAAATTTACATCGAATGATGCCTTGTCACTGCATATTGTCATTGCTATTTTGCAGAGTGCTTGGATGATTTCTAGTTTGCTTGCTTTAGAACGATTTGACTGCATATTTAAATACTATCCGGAATGTGTAGGTTTCCTATATACAGTGGTGCTAATAGAGCCACTATCTCTGCTTCCTAGGACATTTAAAAAGAATTGAGATGTTTGAGAAAGGAATCTATCGGTTCCATTCCAGATAATGAAGGTATGACCAAAATATCGAAGCCAGACCCTAGGTTTAACAGTGCCCGGAACGTTGTGTAAAAAAAATAGGAAGACAATGCAGGTTCGATAATCTCTTGGTATTTCTGGAAAAACATATGTTGGGCTTATAGACTTTAAACGGCTAAGAATATACTATTTACAAATCTTCTGGATTCCTCCTTCTTCGGTTGTTTATAAATCAAACTTGCTGACGTCTTAACAATCACTAGGTTGGCTTCTTTAGAGCTAAACTAAATAAACAACCGACTCAGAAGAAATCTAGAAAATTTGTAAATAGTATTGCAGTAGCCTATGGAAGTTTTCTTAAAAAATTGGCATAGAATATCTCGGAGGGATTCTCTACCATGAGGCCAAATGACAAACGTATCATCAACTATCACAAATCGACTTTTTTATTGTCGGCCCGAATACCTCGCACTTCTAATTTAGAGAAAGGTGATATTGGATATCGCGATATGCATTTCTGTTACAGAAAAGCAAATGGAAAGCAGGCCAGCATTATTAACCTGCAGGCGACGTGCACCAAATTTTTCAAAATAGTATGGTACAAATTAAAATTGTGAAAAAATGACATAAGTCAATGCAATAACATGTTTAATTTAAGTAACATAAAAATAAAAAAAATCTTAATAATAATCGGGAATTAAAAAAAGTGGCCACCGCTCATTTCTAAACATTTTCTTAGACATTTTAAAAAATGCTGTTGAACAATAAAAAATGCGTCTAGCTTATTTCTAATAATTTTACAACCGTTGATTTTTTTTTTTCGTAGATCATTGATATCCGTTATAGGTGTTTCATTCACTAAGACTTTAAGAGCCCCCAAAAAAAGAAGTCCATCGGATTAAGGTCTGGTGAGCGAAGGGGCCAAGCTTGAGGTCCGCCCGACCTATTCATCGATGTTCAGATTCTTTCGTACAGCCAATATAAAAAGGAGTGGAGCGCCATTTTGCATTAACCATAACCCATTAAGCGATCCGTTAAAGAAATGAGGTCCTATAAGATTATCTCCTATAATCCCTGGCCATGCATTTAAAGAAAACTTCAATTTTAGCATATTTGTTTTCAATGTTCCACTGATGCATATTTCGAGAGTTTACAATGCAATCACTACTGAATGCGTTCTCTTCAGTGAACAAAATGACATTTAAGAATTAGAATTTGAAATTATTCCTACAATTTGATTGCATAAAATTACTCTCGATTGCTCATCACCTCATACAGTGCTTGACCCCTTTGAACATAAAAGGGCCGAAGTTCATTTTCACGCAAAACTTCCCACATTGTAGAGCAAGCAATTCTTTCCTGAGTAGCAAGTTTTCTCGTACTCGTTGATGGGTCAGCCTCCACATTCTTCCTTCTCTGGCAGCGGTTCTTTTATACCTTGTTCTCCCTTTATTCATAGTATCACGTTTGAATGATCCTCTTTCACCAAGTCTTCTGTGTATGTTAATAAATGCCCTAGCAGAAGAAACGTTTCTATTGGGTTAAGCCTAGATATAAAGCCGCCTTGCTTGATCTACATTTGCTGTTCCGTAGCAAAAATGCATATCGCGATATTCAGTATTTGAATATTCCTGATAGGCCATCACAGTAGCAGTTGGATAATGAGCTCTTTTAATAGAAACTATTTTTTAACGCATTGTGACAATGACTTTTCCAAATTTCATTAAGTCGTGTTGGATAAAATCACATTTACGAGTAAAATTCGATCCGAGAATAAAAAATCGATTTGTGGTGAAACGATCATACTTATCAACTTAAAATAAGAGTAATAATTTTTGAGGATTTGTGATTCTACTTAAGGCAATCTGTTCTATTTTGCAATATCAGTCTAAATAAATAAAATACCAGATTTCTTAAACACTTTTATTTTCTAACGATGAATTTTACTAAATCAGGTCTGTGTGTAAAATACCAGCTTATTCCGTTGAGAATTAACCCCACTGCTTTAAAAAAAACTGACAAGCTATAACTCGGAAAATATTGCGATTTCGAATTTTTGTTACTTGGCTTACTACCATTATTTTACCACGTTGAATCTTTCCTAAAAGTTTTCGAACTCAATTTTCGAACACCCTGTATAATTAGGAACAGAATACGAACCAGTTTCAGTTAAGCTTTGAAGAAGCCAACAAGATGACCTCCGAAACATCAGCAAGTTCGATTCATCTCCCATCAACGCAGGAGAAATTCAGAAGCTTTCTTAATACTATGAACAAGTTCTAGTTGAACACAGGAAATTCGTATTGAACCATTGTTATCTTAATAACTTTGTGCCACCCATAAGATAACCCGTATATTTTCTAAAACCACCTAACAATGGTCCCTCTTTATACGATAGCAATTTTTTTTTGAAGATTTCTTTATAATCTAGTGTTTGAAAGACTCTGTTTCCGTCGACTATTTATTTTTTGCGATCAGAATATCCTAGCAATACCGCGCTGCTATCTAGTCTTCTTGTCGAATTGTGGTTCGCTTTTATAGGGTGAAAGCGCCTCCTGGCGAAAAGTATTAAATGTTCGCGTTCTTTGTCGTTATGCGGTCTGTGTAGTCAGGCGCGCACTAGGGATATTTTTAATTTCAATTCAAACAATTCAATTTTACTTGATTTTTTTTGTTTCAGAGAAGAGAAAAGCCATCAATTTATTCGACAGTCCCCGACTGAACGCCATTAAAGCAATATACTTGGTTAATAAAATTGGTTTAACACTTACGCAGAATACGTTGGCCCATGAAAACGTTCAAAAGCTAATCGAATCGAAAGAAAAGTTTGATGCAGTCATAGTAGGGCAGTTTATGAACGATGCGTTGAAAGGTCTAGCTCATTATTTCGGCGGCCATTTAATTTTATTCAGCTCAGTCGGCTCCAGTACTTGGGTTAACCATCTGGTCGGTAACCCTTCTTTGCCGTCCTATACTCCCGAGATCTTAATGAGCTTTCCAGCGAAAATGACGTATTCCCAAAGGTTTAGAAATACATTGTTCAATACTGCATTCAACATAATTCAGATATTAATATTTCATCCGAAACAGAACGAAATATTGCATAAATATGTGCCGAATTCTACAGACTTGGATGACGCCTTGTACAACGTGTCCCTGGTGTTGCTCAATTCTCACGAAAGCGTATCTTATCCGTCATCGACCGTCCCATGTATGGTGCATATCGGAGGATTTCACATTAAGCCGTTAAACACACTTCCGCAAAGCCTGCAGGATTATTTGGATAACTCTGTCAACGGTGCCATATACTTCAGTTTGGGTTCAAACGTAAACAGTAAGGACATGCCAGCTGATAAAAAGAACGCGTTCTTGAATGTGTTTAAGCGACTTAAGCTAAATGTTCTTTGGAAATATGAGGAAGATTCTTTAGAGGATTGGCCGAAAAATATTAAAACTGCGGAATGGTTTCCTCAACAGGAAATTTTGGGTAAGGAAACATAAATTACTTATGATTGCATTCTGGCGGAATATTCACCACGTATGGATTGTGTTTGATTATCGTCCGAAATTTATTACTACCTAAAAGCTAAAAGAAACTTTCAGTTGCTTTTTAAAGAAATTTATAGAAGTGTTTACTGATCTACTGATGTTGAAAAATATATGAATACAGTGACTCATAATGGCTTTTGTATATGTAATGTCTACTATTGGACCACGTACGGATGAACAATAGTCTGTGTGTCTGCTGGGATTGTATTGTATTGTATTGTATTGTGATCATAGAAAGTTAACAAATCCTGCATCTGTAAAGGATAATGAGGTAAGAGTTCAAAAAGTGTCTTAAACCAAAACTTGTTTTTTGGGACATTTATGAATGAATTATTAAAGGAATAAAAGATTCTAACTCAGATACAAAGCATGTTGAAAATCGAGATGTTTATTTGGCGGTAAAACAGAAATCGCTAACATGTTTAATGGATACTTTGTTAGTATCGATAGTAAAACAGTTTTGCAGTATTAATAGAGGGAAGTTGGGTGATTCTGCCTATTTCGGTGAGATTGAAATAAAGGAATCAAAGAAGTGAAACAGACAACCTAGAAATCTCACAGATAATAAACCACTTAAACAGTAAGACCTCAGCAGTCAGACATATACATAAAACCGGATTATTCAGTCTGGTATATAATAATCTTATGTGTATCAGAATGTATTAAGCATGATAAATATCAATATCGATTTTAAGTACTCAGTATTTTTGAGTAAAATAGAAGTAACTGTCATTATTTAAATAACATTTATGAATTTGTGAACTATGAAGTACATCATCAGGGCTCGATAATTGGTCCACTGCTATATGCTTTGCATTTAAGTAGGATTTAATTGTCAGATATTATAGGTAGTAGGATTACTACCTATAACTTGCCTTTACTCGATAAGTAACAAAGCTACAATTGAGAAAATCAAAACTGTAGATTAAAATTTAAAGAATATATAAAAAAAAATTAAACAAATAAATAAAATGTATAATCTAATAAAACTTTACAGAATTATGTTGCTTACCTTCCCTACTTTTCCAACATGTAAAACTCTTCTAAAGTTTATTAGGTTCCATTTTTGGAGTTATATTTTAATGTTCCTTCAACTTTTTGCAACTTTTGCTGTAACCAATGCGTTTTACTGCAGCTACTTCTTTTGGTTTTTATGTAGTTTTGGTTAGTTTTGTTTGGTTCAGTTAAAAATTTTAGTTTTATGTTGGCAACTATATCAGAAGTTTTTACGCTTCCACGGCTTTTAACGGCTGTTTTTGAAAAGGATACTAATATTTAACAATTTTTTTTTTTGTAAAAATTTATCATATCCGTTTTGACTTTAATATTTGGGAAGTTACAAAAATAATAAGGTTTTATCTCTTATAGTTTATAAAGTATAAATATGTTAATGTGCCGCAAGAAATTAAAATCGAAATAAAACATTAATGACATGACTCCAGATAACAAGTAGTTTAAAAAATAATCAACTGAGATAGATATAGAAAAATGCAATGTCATAAGTTGGCTAGATTTGATGTGTGATACCTTAGAGAGTTACATGACAAAAACGCACTTTCCGAACGAAAAAAAAATACGCAACAGTCAAACTGCTGGTGAAATTGTGTGACAGAATAAATGTAATTTAATTACTCCGTTTAATTTCAGTCTCTTAGTGTTGGCTTGACAATCCCACATTTATACTTCTTATTTCGATAAAAATCCAAATGTTTTGGAAAATTGTTTAATCCAAAAAAGCAATAAAAAATATGTTCTTATAGCGAATAAAATAATTTAATTGTTTTCAAGTATATAAAGAGTGTTTTACGCTTATATTTTATTTAATACATTAATTTATAAGTTGTACACTAGCATAGAAACTAGTCATAGTACAATCCAAAAAGTTTCTTCAGATGGATCTGATAATGATAACATGCAAAGACGGAAATTAATAACGATAACAGTCTAAGTTGTTATTAACTCATATCCCTAATACACTTGTAACGTGACATTCCAGCACATCCCAACGTCAAGTTATTTATCACCCATGGTGGGTATTCCAGCACGATTGAAGCGGTATTCTACGGCATACCCGTCATCGCAATTCCAATATACGGCGACCAGAAAATGAACGCCGTTTATGCGGAGACCGGAAATTTTGGACTGTCCTTAAACTGGCATGACATAACGGAAGAAAATTTGTATTCGAGAATACAGGAAATTGTGAATGTACCGAAGTAAGCTCAAAAAATAAAACATGGGAAAGGTGTAAGAACATGCAGTTAAATGGCAAAATATTAAATAAATCCATTTAAAAATTGGATATTATAAAAAAAATGCTCGAACACGTCCATCATAATTTTGTCTTGGGCAGAAAATATATAGCGTGGGTCAAAAAGTAGATGCTGATACCAAATTTCGTCTTGTAAATAGCACAACGTTTTTGTAAAATCCGTTTTTGAATTCTGTGTCCCTATTTTTTACCTTTTACGAGAAAAAAATAAAAAACAGAAATTTAATTTTGAAATGAACAGGTAAGTAGCTAAGTGTGGGAATATTTAAATACAATATTTCCCTGACAGTGGATTGATAGAAGGAGATCAATACAATCGCTTGCAAGATATGCAGATATTACTCCAATATAATTTTTCCTTTCAAAAAATGTATAATAAAAAACGCAAAATTTAGATGATTTAAAATTTAGAATTAGATACAAATAAAGATAAATTAATAAAAACATCATTAGTAATGTTTTGAAATGGTTTTTAAACCGATTTAGATATTGTCAACAAATATATTGAAAACCTAAAAAAATAAGTTCTTCGACACGCCCTGCTTCTATCAATTTTCTCTCAATTTTATGGATATTTTGCGTTAACCAAATTACAAAATTCTTCTTCAGTTTCCGTTTTGCCTCCATATCCAATAAAAATTAAAATTTCAATTGTCTTGGTTTCATTTAGATGTGCCATTATTTCCCTACAGAAATGTAATTGTAACAATTTAAGAACTTACTGGTACTAGCCTGTCCATTTCAAAATTAAATTTAACTTTTTTATTATTTTACTCATAATAAGATAACTGTAAGGTCTGCTACACGAATTAATTATGCGTGGGATTTGTTCCACAATGTAATTTTGTAAGTATATTTTTTGAGCCACCCCTAATATTTTCTATTTATTGCAAAAAATGAGCAAGAAAAAATTCGTGCACGAGCATACTGAAATGCAATATTTGACTTCTAAATGAGTTTGCTTCATATTTTAGCCATTAAATGTATACAAGGATAGTAGTGCTTACATATAATTAATACTCCTTGTACATAAGAATGCATAAGTCGATTCACTAACGAAGAAAGAGAGGCAGAACATTCATGTCTAAGAAACTCTGGGATGTGCCTGTATACTGTACTATTGAAATTAAAGTGTACCATAATATTAGCATTTTTTGCATCAAACGTATACTCACACAAGAAGCGTCTAATAGAAGGTATTTTGAAAAATAATGCTCGAATTTAAAATCAAATTGCAGTGTTGATGTCAGAAGTTCTACGTCAGAACTGCCAACCAAAACAATGAACTAAGCGAAAATCTTCTAGTTTTATACGTGGAAAATCATAAAAGCATTATTTCTGTTGTTCAATGTTGTTCAACCAAACCTGTGTTGCTTTAAAATTTAGTTCTTATGTATTTAAAATTTATATAAAATGATTTTTTTTTAAATTTTGCATCACTATGATTATACAACTATCTTTAGATTTAGATCCACACATGGGTCTATCATCCAAACCTCAATTTCTTTCTACCAGCATTTTATAGTATTATTTCGATGGGTCATATACTTTATAAATGGGTTCTATGTACTTTTCACATTTTTTATCATAAATGTCATTGTTCTGTGTGTGCATTTTTAGATACAAAGAAAATGCCAAAAAACGATCGCAATTGATGAGAGATCGGGAGATTCACCCTATGGATCGCGCCATCTACTGGATTGAATACGTAATAAAATACGATGGAGCCTACCATCTGAGAGTTGCGTCTTTAGAACTAAGTTGGTTTCAGTATTATTTGTTAGATGTGTACGGACTTATTTTTTTATTTATATTTGTTATTTGTCTAGTTCTTAGAAAGTTGTTTGTATTATTGTTCTGCCGAAAAAGGAATGCACTTCAAAAATTAAAAGTTAAATAATAAAAAAATGTTTACCACTAAACAGATTAAAAAAAAAAGTTTTATTAGTATTAAATGATGATGAAAGAAAAACCTGATACGCAATCAATGTTAATTTATAAAAGGTTGGTTTTATATGGTATGTATGCAATTTTTATTTAGAAAAGAATATTTTAATAAAGAGAATCTAATTATTTAAAAAAGTTCACTTCTCGCGAGGTTCTGTTAAACCGACTTCTATAAAATTTGTTTATTTGCAATGCGTTTTACTAATATTTCTAAACTAACAAAGCAAATGTTTATCTTTGTGTAAGAGTGGGAGAAAGCTGAGTTCTACTTCAGTGTATAGTAAGTAGCTGATATACTGATACCTATAGTTTAGTTTAAGCAATTAAGCAATGAATTTCTTTTCATTCTTCTTCTCTACTTCGTCTGTTAACCATATTTTTTTCAAAATTTGTTTTTCTTGGTAACTAACCTGTGTTAAACTGTAATGTAATGCCATATTCTATGGTTTTTGAGTCCCAGATTAGCTATGTGCTTTCTACAGATTATGGTCTTTCTAAGGATTGTCCGAATGAACTGCTATTACGGAAATTGAGTGAATGTTTTTCCAGATGCATCTAGAGGAAATGAAAATAGAGTAGAAATATGAGTATTTATCCCACATTTTAAGATTAAATCAGGGTTGATGTTGAACAGCTATATTAACATTTTATGGCTAAAACGGCGGCAATTAATCATGGACTACAATAAACATGAACTTATAAATTAAGAACATAAAAATAGATTAAAAGTCCTGTTTCACCCTATTTTTCTTTGCTAGGTTCCGAACCATGCTGGTATAGAAACACGAACACGAACGGAGCTGTTAAAGACAATCTATGAATTTCCTTGTATTTAAAATGGAAAAGGATGGGTTTTTACAAAGGAAAAATTTATTAAAGCTTCAATCAGGATCTGATCCGATCCGATTAAACCCTGGTTTCGTGTGTCGAATCTCACTAGAAAACAAAATAACTACTGTGTGTAGATTAAGGAGCAACCACTGCTATTACTGGCCTATCTGTACCAGAAGTAGGAAATTTCCATTTTCAGTTATTTGGTTGTGTGAGGCATTGGAATTACTCTCAATCCCTTAATAGAGTTCTGATTAATGCTTTTGTCCCTCCCTTAATTCTTTACCTTTTGCTTTATATTCCCCATGTAATTTGAAGATTACTGCTAAAGCAATTCTAGCTTCTCAAAACTTTCTAAGTGCTTTGAGCTTGTAGCTTTTGATATAAATCAACTAAACTAAAACTATAATTTTACTGGCACATTATTATTGTTCTTAGGACTTAAGGAAGATGCTTAGTAGATCGAATAAAAGCAAGGAAGAATAAAAAAATATACTACGGTTTTAGTTTAACCTTGAGACCGATACGAATGCTATTGGATGAATAAAATAAGCTGTTACTGTTACTGCAAATTTTGAACCGATGCCTATAAATTTGAATTTATTTGGCAATATTTTGCAAATGATTTTTGTGATAGTTCTATGTATGCTCTGTACCTATTACCGCAACACGAGGTTACTGTTTACTTAATTTGAGCAATGATTATTTTTATATATAATCTGTAGAGAGATCAACTGTCACTCAACTGTTACTCATAGTTAGCCAGTGAGATGTGCGAAGTAGCACTAAGCTTTCTAAAAAATTGGAGCAATCACAAAGTGATCCCACAGCAATAACTGAAAACTTCATATATTATAATTATCTTATTATTAATCTGGCAATGGTATAGTCTGCATGGTCATGCTATTAACGTTTTTATCTGCCCTTAGGCATTTTTGGGCCAATAAATCAAATCGGCCCAGGATAGTAATGATAAAACTGACACGCAAAGTACATCAATACATTATGTAGTATCGTATGTATTATAAAATTGTAACTATATTAATAATTAATACATATTAAATAAAATCAATCGTCATAATGTTTTGAATCTGAGCTGTTTATTTAACAGCTTTAGTTAGTAATTGCGATAATTATTATTTACAAGGTGAAAAAGAAAATAACAATTAGGGCAATTAAGTAGCAATATTCAGCAAACTGAAACTATTCGGGACGAACAAATTTACACAGAGTTTTTTTGTTTCTACTTAAAAATAGTTTAATTTGAAACGAGTGTTTGAAAAGACCCTCTGTCGACTCTGTACCTGAGTCATAGGCGAGGAACAGTTCTGTTGTCTGGGTTAAAAATCAGATAAATAAAAAAAAATTAAAATTATATGATACTTCAAATTAGTAACGTAATGTAATTAAAACTTTTGATAAAAACCCAACAATTACTACAAAGAAAGGTTTTAAATTTACAGGTTAATTCTCTATTTATTAATATCATCTATTATTAGCTGTTGGTGGCAAATAGTGGGTGAGAACTCGTTTTTTTATGAAAAAAATATTTTTATTTCCGAGATACAGGATATTCGAAGAAGCAAAACTGAGTCCAATCAGTGATGCTTCCCAACGGTTTTGCAGTAACCTAAAATGCCTGGAATTCCTGTCTTTCGTATTTTGTGTTTTATATCCATATTTTAAAATTTCGTATTGTGACTTCTAAAATTAACTACTAAAATTTGATTGTCAAAGTTATATACAGAATGTCGAAGAAGTGCGTCTGCAGATTATGTTTATTTTGGATTCTGTCGTTAATTTTAAAAGTATTTTGAATAGCATATGGTATAAACAAACTTGATAGCTTTTTGATATTCGCCATTTTGCGCAAGTCTACAAACCCTATGAAGAAATATAAACTTGCATAAAAAGGAAAGCCATAGCTTCAAATCTGCTTCGACCATAAGCACAAAACGTCATAAATGTAATCGGTAAGCCACTTGACACGCATCTTGTGGTTGTTTGTGCAACTATAAATGTTAAACTGTCCATCGTAGCTTCTGTAATGGACTAGATAAATGGTGTAGCGAAAAGGTAACAAACTCCCTGTATTCGCTACCAAAACAAAATGCGCCAGAAAATGAGTACTTAAAAAGAAAATAATAAGAAATATCTTGCTTTTGGTAGTTATGGAGAGTCAACTTCAATTTTCTTAATGTATTGGCGGACGAATTCATTGAAAAACCAATTGAAATGTGTTGCATTAGATGCACCTTAAATTGTAATGAGTAAATTGATGTGTGCATGTACGATTTGCACAAAAAGCTTGAAAACCAAAATCGTTTGCTTGCTCACGCCAAAAATGTTGACTGTAATAATCGGCTTTTATATTATCGGTGATTCTGTTATTTTATTTCTATGTAATTTTTTCTGTATTTAAATTCGTTTAAATTGCCAGAAAAGAAAAGGGATTTGTAGAAAAGCTCATTGAACTATATAAATCAATTCCTTGCTTTTGGAAAGTGAAATCCAAAGAGTAGAGTTCAAAAAATGTCGGGTTCATTACTTAATTATTTAATTATATTATTATGGGAGAAAGTGGCTCTCTTTCTAATCGAAAATTTTTGTTGTTTTCTCTTTTTTGACACTTCATTGAAGGTAATTCGTCATTCTCGTTCATGGTTTTGCTTGCACACTCCACAATAATCGCATACGTCTAGGTCTACTGTGTAGTGGTGACTGAGCATTAAAACGAACATATCTACTCTGTTTTATTTGTGCCAATTTGCAAGGACAAATCAACTTGCGTAAATGGCAAGAGCGTCAAAACCCACCTTTAGGGATTGTTTTTCTTAACACCCGTTTAATTTGTTTTAATTTAAATAAATGTTTAATAGAAAATATAAATAATAATAATAATACTCTTTTATGAGAATTGAGATAAATCAGCTACTCAACATTAACCCAACACAATTAATCTATATATTATAAACCTTTATGACAATACAATGTGTAACAAAAGAACCCGAAGTAATGAAAAAATAAAATATAAACAAAAGAAAAAGAAAGTAATTAAATATAGAAATAATTAATTAAAAGACAAAAATCCCAATCAGCACTTTATTTATCTAATATCATGCCTTTACTGTTCTTCCGAAATAGTTTTAAAGATGGTAAGGCAAAGAACTGTCTAAGCCGATTAAAAGTTTTTGCCGCATTATTATTAAACCCCCGCTCGTAAAAAGTAGATCTGTGTTGAGGCACAGTTAGCGTATTCTCTTTAATATTTACATTATGATTCACACAGTTTTTTCCTAACTTTAAAGTTCAATGTATAATTATTGGCAAATAGAGTCTTAAGTATAAGGTAATTCTTTCACTTAAATTTGAAATGTGCTCACTAAATCTGAATGAGATGTCCACCGTTGCTAATAAGTTTTGGCGTTGATAGCAAACGACAAGGGTTCCCCATTTATTTCAAGTATCTTTTCAGGAAGTGCATTGCAGAGTCGCGAGCAAAGAGTAGCGCCTAAGGTTTATCCGCATTTAACCTTAAAGTATGTCTCTCACTATATGTAAAAACCTCCTGCAGATCGAAATTAATATCTGCTTCAACTTCATCATAATGGAACGGATGAAAAAATTAAACAAGCTGGGTATCGTCAGCATATGATTAAGATTGACAAAACTGCGGCGCGGTACCCAAATAAAATATATACAGTAAAAATAATAGCGACTCCAAGATTGACCCTTGAGGCGCCCCTGATACCACTTCACCAACTTTCGACACACCAGCTGTCGTCCTAACAACTTGTCTTCTATTTTGCAAGTAATTGTAAAAGAAGGGCAGTGAACCGTCAGATGGTCCAAAGTATTGCAATTTAGTGCATAAAGGTGAATGACCCGCACAATAAAAAGCTCGATAAAAGTCGAGTAGAATTTGTATAGTCGCAAGTTTGTTATCTAAACTCTGAAAAATTCAATCTGTCACATTTAACAAAACTATTGCGGTACTGTGTCCCGGACGAAAATCCGATTGACAAATAGATAGGATGTCATTATTTTTAACAAATTCATAGAGCTCTAAATAGATAACCCTCTCCAGAATCTTGCTCAACACAGGTAGTAAGCTAATCCGCCTTAGATCATTAAATGATTCAGGAGAACTTACTTTAGGAATGGGACACACAACAGCTGTCTTCCAGCAGGCTGAAAAGCAACCATTCTAGAGGCATGAATTTATTAAGTGGGTTATATGGTTAAGTAGTATGGGTAAACTCAGTTTTAACATTAAAAGTGAAGATCAATTAATTCTCGCAGTATTTGATTTAAGACTAAGGTAGCTGACTCTATTTCGTCAGCTGTAGGGAAGCGAAAGTGATACTCAGAAACATTATGTCGCGTGGTCTGAAAGCATTCGGCATCGGCATGTGTACCAGAAAAAGCCCCAAGAAAATGTTGATTTTGCGCCGCGCAATCCAGCATGTTATCTGGTAACTCCAGTATTTTTTGCGTGAGAATATGTGCAGACTTCGAACTTTTCCACATAGTCCACGCATCACGAGACCCGACAAATTTCAGATACGCTGCTTTTCCACGCCTCAACGAGGATAAAGCCAAATTGCAAAGGTGATTATAGGTATTCCAATTGATTTATTCAGTTTATAATTTTGAACTGCTCTACCCCGCTCTAGAAATATTTCCCTAAGAGAATCTGTAAGCCAAAGGGGCATGAGGCGGGACAGTCTCACGGAATGCACAAATAAGTCAAATTTTACAATAATCTATAATTGTAACTAAATCGATTTTTTATATGACTACACCAATGAAGATACACAATTAGAAGCCAGCAATAAACGAATTTCAAAATATTTAGAACAGTATCGTTTTCCATCCAATGTTCACAAAGGAGATTTTAATGTTGCATACTCCAAATAAAAAATCCGTCAACAGTAATAAATAAAATAAATCAGCTGAAAGAATTTAAATATAACTTTTAATTTAACGCTAAAATAGCTAATTAGTAAGACTTTTCCAATGATAAAGTCACGGGCGTGTAAAATCCTTTACGTGATTTTTTTTCTTATGTTTTGTATACATTATTATTACTATATTATGCTGACGGTCAAGAACATCAACCAGGTGCCTCCAACACCAGCAGAACCAGGTCAACCATAGAGGCGCTCTGAGTTATGATATTCCATAAGACAAGATTTTCGCAAACCTGTATGTTTGCTATATGTATCGCCAATCAAAAGTCTCTCATCATCATACTATTCATTTTTCATAGCGATTTATAAATATGCATTATTCAATTGAAAAAGAAAAGTTTCCGCCTTTCGGAGGTAAATATAGGAGTTCATTTATGTAAGAAATCATTTTTTTTATGGAATATTAATACATACTCAATTAGATTGGGTATATATTAAGTTATGAATTTCATCTAGGGAATTTCTAAATTGAAATTAGTGGAGTTAATTGTATCATACAGGACCCGCCATTCCCGATGTGGACGCAAGCAAAACAATTTAACATGTATTTGTAACAGATTACATTTGCAGATCGCAATTAAAATTACGACACGTAAGCAATTTATTTTTATAATCACAAAAATCCTTATGACAGGCAAACGTTGTAAATTAATTGGCACTCACGGATCTGAAGATATTCACTAATTTAAATTTATAAATTCCGTAGATGCAATACGTTAACGACTGTTTTGTACTTGCTTAGGAGACCTTTCACCTGGTAATTCCTATCTCTGTGGCATTCTTGTGTGGTCTCCGACACGCTTTAGTTCCCGCCACATTTCCCGAAAAGCAGCAGTGACTCGTGCGTGAAAATATTTATGCAATGAACGACGTAAGTTATTTGTTGTACCTTATCATTTATTTTTAAAATTACTAAAATTGGCCCAAACAAAAGCGTTTAAAGGCAGCGACATTTTCGGTCTCCACGAAATAACTAAGTGCTAAAAGTCAAGTTAATTTAAGGAAGAAAAATATTTTTATTAATATTTCTCTAAAATAGTTAACAAACAAAGCTTTACATAGGTAACTTACGACCGAGTCTTAAGTAGTCTAAGTAGAAATAATAATAATAATCCTAATGCCGGTTAATATGTTGTCTACCCAAGTTTGTTTATATTTAGGACGCGTTCCACCTTAAAAGTGCAAAATAAAATACTAAATCGGTTGGTCAGTTTTGGCTCGGTTTGATTGGTCTTGGGTTAGTTTCGACCACCCTATATGGGAGTCCTGCATATGCTAATAAAAGAGGAACTTGCGAAGCAACTATGAAAACACAAATTTGAGATGGTCTATTCAACATGTGCATGTGCGGTGTTTATATATCCAACAAGGCCGTTGACAGCTGGTCAATAAGTATAGATAGTGACGCTTCCCGCACGCTAATTAGGTATTTTACAGACGGGAGTAAAAAAAAATATTGTTTAATTTTAAATTATTTCCGAGACTAAACTGTCATTTTCTTTAGGGACATTTGATTTGACGCAAGAAGAGAGTGGTATTTTCATTTGATGTTCAGTTAAAGTCCTATATTTTAAATTTCAATCGAAAAAATGTATTACCCATTTTGGACAAAATTGAAATAATTTATATCCCGAAGATTAAAAAAATTGCCATTGGCTTTAATTATTTATGAGTTTCAGTATAGAAAATAATAGTGAATGCGGAAGGAAAAGTAAACAAAGACCTTATCTTTAACAATATGAGTTATTTCTTAAGAATATACGAGTATAATAAAGTTATTTGTCCTAATTATGTCTTCAAACATTCGTTAAATGCTATTGCAAATAACGAAATATTTTAAAAATTAAAATGTTTGCTGTTTTCTTGGGAATTAATAGATAGCTTTATCCGCAACAGTTACTGGAAGAATCCTACCCAAGGTAGATAGCGCACTAACAACAATAATCAGTACCATGATTTGCCCAGTTAAAAACTTACCACATTACAATAATTACAACGTTTTGAATTGAAAGTATACTTTTTACTGATGCATTAGTACGGAATTAAAACGGCTGGTAAGTAAAAACCAGCGTGGGGTAAAATCTCCGAAAACATCCGATTGTTCTCAAACCATAGCTGGGAAAGAAACTCACGTGGTAAAGTGACGCTTCCCGCAAGATGGATCGGTGTATAATTACAGAAGGAAGTGGAAAAATATTATTAGGTATATCGCCAAGATAGATAGATACATAGATTACAGATAGATAGATGGCATAAATAGATAGCTAGATTTATTCATGATAATGCACATTATATAGTGCATACGTAATAATAGCGATATCATTAACACATTTGATAAACACAGATTCTTTAATTATACTTCAATTTACAATAATTCAATGAACTTAAAGGCAATCAGGTCCCGTATTGGGAAGACGGATGTTCTGACAAAATAAAAAAGAATTTATTATGTAAATTACCCAAGAAATCATATTTAAGGTTTTGAAACGGCCACCAGGAGGAGTAATTGCCATCTTGAATTTATATAAACAATTTTCTGCAATGCAAATATAATCGGAAAGTGGTGGGGGTGCTCCACCATTACGGCAAATAAATGTCGATAACTCCAAAATCGATTTCGATTTTAATAAACCTAAAAGATGCTATGAATAAGATGATGTTCTTTTTTTTCATCATTATATAGTCAAAACAGAGCCCAACAATGCAATGAAAATCAAATATTCTATTCAATTGAATATTTTTATCTCAACCTAACGGAACGCTATCCGAATATTATAGAAAAAAATTGACACCATTTGGGATAAGATCAACCATATTTTCAGGAGTAGTAGGACGAGTTTGATAAACCATTACTTTTATTCTACCACAAAGATAAAACTCCAGGACAGTAAGTTCTGGAGATCTGACACGGAAGCAGACTGTCCCTGGCCATCCAACTGTTTGGTCTAAAAAATGCCTAAAATGTTCAAATAAATTTGGCCACTAATTTTACAATTAAAGACGTTCCTCCTCCGATTTTGATAATTCACATCACGCATCCAATCAGGATTGAATTGACTCCTCCATCGCTCGAAAAAGTAGCTTCCTCGGTCCATTATAATCGAGATAAACAATTGGGATCCTTATCTACCATAAAATTTAGTTTACAGTAGTTTAATCTCCTACCAAAATCAGTTACTAAAAGAAGCTAATGTAATTTCGATGTTTTACTAATATCCAAATCGAAACTTATTCTTTTTGAGCTTAACGCGTCGATTTTGTCTAGGCACTGGATTAAAAACACAAACACAGAAAGGAAGTTAATAAAATTTGACAAGCATTAAATAACGACATGAAGGATGCATATAGGGTTTTTCAGCCTACTAAATAATAAACTTATATAATAACACGAAAAAAAATTGATTTTATGAGAGTTTCGATAATTAAGAATAAATAATAATTTCTGTCAAAGGATATGCTTTTTTTCTTTTAAGGTTTGCTAATTAATACTTAAAACGTCAGTAATTAATAAAATGAGCAAGTCAGTCAAGATAAATACAATCGGTCCTTTTCGGGAGGATAGGAATGATACCAATTCTAGATGCTAATATGAAAAACCCACTACGACTTATTGACACTTATGAACACAACAATATGGTTTGTGAGGTAGATCCAAGGAGTTATATCTCATTAGCTGGTGAATGAGGAGATTTGCATCCAGTTCATTTGGGTGAACTGTCAACCGGCTGTGATGATCTTTCTGGTAATTTGGCACATTCTTCAATGATATTTACAGCTGATCTAAGCAATTTGGATTACAAAAGTTGCATCTTTCTGAAATTAGAGTTGCTTGCTGACTCCCGCAGTTGTACACCATAAGACCATATAGGCATTATCATAGCTTGATACACCAACACCTTGTTCGTGAGGGATAGTTATGATGGGCAGCCCATCAACCAGTACATTTTTCTGTAATTTAGTCCGAGTCGTAATATGTTTTTCCCCAGGTTCTTTTTGGAGAAGAGGGCAATTGTTGATTGCAACAGGAGGAGAAGTATTTTGCTTGAGGGTGAATATCACATGAACAGATTTGAAAGTATTAGTTTTGATGCGACAAGTTTTCATTCATTTGTCGATGTTGTCAAGGTGGTGTTGTAAACATCCAGATCCAGTTTCAGTAACTTACAGTAACTAAACCTAGCCTAATCTAAATATAAACCTAAACATATAAGGATATCACAAGCTAGTAATAATGTTTACGATATTTCAATAACCCTTAGAGTGGAGTTTTTTCGGGGGCACATTAGGTCTACACACACGGGCGGTCCTAAGGTCGGGTGTTAGTTAACTTAAATTGTTTGCCTAATAACGCACTCGTATGCTATATCTTAAGAATATACGAGGCAATGTGTTATTTTGTACAACTTCGATAAGTAGAATATAGATATACAACCAGTTAAACCACTATCTTTGTTAGCGCGCTTATTAGCTCGGACAATTATTTATTATGAGGGTAGTTATTCGTTATCTTTGAAAATTGTTGGCGACCATATATAACGTACGTGTTTTTTTTGAAAATATTCTTTAATTATGTGGGTATGTAATCATAATTGTTTTCATTAAACCTTTCTTATCTGTTATTCATTTAGCATGTAAGGAAGTTCCCGATTGGTTAAAAAATCCAAAAGCCGAATATATCAGCTATAATATATATGGAAAAATGTGATGACACTATATTCCGGGATATCATCCGTTCGCTCGTTGAACTCCGACTGGAATCCTGCAGAGCGATGCGCATATATATATATATATATATATATATATATATATATATATATATATATATATATATATATATATATATATATATATATATATATATTTACTGTTATAATTTTATTTTATATAGAATTTTTGACTAATTAATACATATTAAAATAAAAAGCACGAACTACTTGAAGCTTTTCTTACTCTCAGCAACATCAACAATAAACGACAATAAAACCGATAACAACGATAATTATTAAACTAACAATAATGAAAATAGAATGTTAAGTAAATATGAGTTGTCAATATATTCACCATAATTTCCCAAACATTTTCTAATATTATCTCTCATTTTATAATGAATCGCATTTAAAATAAAGTCTGGATGATCTATATTGGGCATGAATATTTCTTGTTTATTCTTGTGCTAAACACTCGTATATTTTCAGTTCTGTCACTGTCACTGCTTTTTTAATCATCCCCACAGCAAAATATCAAGAGAGTTTTAATTCCAATCCAATGGTTTTATCTGTGAATAAGTGGTTAGCAATTGGACCGACATTGTGGGGCGGTGCGCCATCTTATTGCGAAATCAGGTTAATCTATTGGAATACGCTCCAAATAATTTTTGATGTTAAATAAAATCTAAATATCGATTATTTGGTTGACCAGTATGCCACATTCCATAGGACCCGATCTACGACCCTGTATTTTTACTGTTTAAATTTTATGTGGGGTCGGATTTGCCCAGTAATGCTTATTTTTCCGATTAAATATACCTGCCGTCGTCCATCAGCAAAAATATTTTTTCCAAAAAAAATCGGAATCCTCTTTTATATGCCTCGACATTTCTTGACAGTGTTGTCACCGTTTATATTTTTTCCTTCAGATAAGCCTTGAACTGAAATAAATTTGTAGGGGTGATATTTATAATATTTTGAAGTGGACTGAATCTTGTAATATGACATTCCCAATTGTGTGGCAACAACTGAGACTGAACTTTCGGGATTTTCTATAAAGTTATATGAAATTAATTTTATTTTTAATTATAATTCATTCATTCGCAAAAGAGCAAAATATTCATGGCACCATCTTGATTTCTAACAACTGATCTCTTTTTTCGAC